ATTATGATGAGAAATAAACGAAAACCTTAAATTATTGAAAAATTGAAACTTAAAGATGTTTTGATTGCCCGGCTTCCAATAACTGAGTATAAATTTTTTTGTTCAAACTGTTGCTTTTTTTATTTATTTTTCATTACGTACTTTTTTATCATAAATTTTACCCATTTATTAAACCCAAGGTAATATTCAATAAAGCAGCAAAATATAATTTTTATTTGACCATTTATAATCAGAACAATTGGGTTTTAAGGTAAAATTTCACAAATATTTGTTTTAGTTAAAAAAATTTTAAAATAAATTTATTGTTGATAAAACAAGCATTTTTTTCTGATTTTTTTGAGTCCAAGGTTGATATGGTTTAGAAAAAAAAAATGATTCAAAAATATTAAGATCCGTCAAGAATTTAGAATCCAAAGAGGAACCTCAAGATCTCATCAAAATCAAAAAATATTTTTTTACTTTCATCTTATAACTAATAGACATCGATTCGTGTCTCAGGAATATTGATTTCTAAACTTTTTTTTTTTGCTATGAAAATCGCTCCACCCCTAATGTATATATATATAGGGCCGCCGAGAGCTTTCACGACGGCCGGGGTATAGTAGCAATTAGGTGCCTCTGTAGGCATACATGTTTTTAAATTAAAAGCATGTACAATTATAGAACTTCATGACTGTTTTTTTGTTTGTAATACTGTTAATTAACATTCATATTTTCAAGAACCGCATATTTTCAAGTACCATCTGGGACAACACTTATGCAGCACACTCACTAATTTGAATTATTAAACAGATTCTACGAAATTTATATTGAAAACGCTCTTTTCTTCCTTTTTAGCTGAATTCGAATTGTAATGCATAAAAATTGTAAAACAGGCTATAGGCTTTTTGAGTATAGTTGGTTGGGAAAGCCTAAAGTTTCCACCAGTAAAAAATGAAGACTCCTTCAAACTATTAGGATACAATATATCTTCCATAAGGTTTATTTATTTCTTTTAACCATAAGGTTTATCTATTTCACCAGCTTTAATTTTTCCAATAGGCACAAATGTTACATTGTATGTTGTTAACCGCTGACAAAACATTGCTTTTTTAAAATTTCTCATTCATGGTAACGTAATTACTTCTTGTGCACAAACAGTTCGATCAGCATCAAGCCTATATTTGTTTCTGGTGTGCCCGACCCTTTTCATGTGAATATGCCTTATCATGCAGTTAATTTAGAATGGTTCTTTTCTCCACAATGTGTAAAGAACTAAAGGTATGTGTAACACTCATTCTTTGTTTGATAAAAATTCCGCAAAATATCTGGAGCTAGTTGTATTATAGTTGCTCCAAATATTGTGTGGTCTTTTTGTTAAATTTGGATGCGTGATTTAAATAGATGATTTTTGTGTAAAAGTTTAAAAAAAAGACCGCAAAACATCTGGAGCTAGTTTTATAATTGCTACAAATATTGTGTGGTCTTTTAAAAATGTCAAAATATCGATTTTCAAAGAGAAAAAATGTACATACATCAATATATTTTTTAAAAACGTATATTTATTACGGTTTGGATACGTAGCCAAGTTTTTGGAAAAATTCATTGGGAAAAATTGAAGTAATTTACTTGTTATTGTTTCATAAGACGTTTTGAATGCCACTTTCATCTATAAAAAAAAGCCCGTCTAAAACAGCCTGTCTTTCATCTATAATAAAAGCCTGTGTTCTTTTCCAATCCATAATATAATATAGATAATAAAGTTTATATATAAATAAATATTTTAGTTGCAAATCTCTTGTAAAACTTTAAAATTTATATCAAATAGTGTTTTTCTCGAAATACGTAAAAAGCAGCTTTAGGCGTTTTGAAAAACGGCTGTAGTAGTTATAGTAAGTGGTAACCGTTTGAAAACAATAATAGACCAAAATTTTTGCAAGTGGTTTCTATCGGTACAGACATTTTGCGCTAAACTTAAATTTTATTTATAAGAAAACAAAGCGTGTGTTTATGTGCCTAATATTGTTTTAATTCTACCTTGAGATTGTACTTTCACATTGATAACATAACATCAAATTGATATTTGAAGAAAAAATATAACAAAAATTGGACACTTATCTCCAAAATTAATTTAAAGAAATTATGAAATATAAGTAATCTAATTAGTAAATAAAATAAAGAGAAAACTCTTCTTAAAAAATGCTGCTATAAAAATTAGTTTAAATTGGTTCGTAGTTGAAGGTTCTTTTAATTGCGTTGCAGAAAAGTAAGCCGCCAAGTATAGCCTGCTAATATCTAAAAAACAAAAATAAAAAAATACTACTGTCCTATCAATTTATCATACATGTTCTATTTTCATTCAGTTTGTAAATTCTATTTCATAAATCTACGCACACTGTAACTTACATAGCTTGTTGAACAGCCTAGTTTTAGATATGTTGTGGATTAAATAGCTAACCTTAAATAATTTTTAAACCAATAGAATAATTTATTCTTAAACCAATATAATAACTTAACCTTAAACTAATCGAACAACTATATACAACTACACCTTAAGGATTTTCAGAAATAAAATAAAACCAAAAAATTTGTTGCTTGTACATTCTTTTTGATATTTGCCAGTGCAAATTTTTAATAAAAAGCCATAAAACTGAGCAACCTTGCAAGTCATTACATCTCGTGATACCTATTTTGAAATTCACAATACTTGAAGTAATCTTTTTGCGACATACAAATCTGGAGTCCCTTTGGGACTCTGTACCCCTGCTTAGATCATAGCTTAACCTTAACACAAACATCTAGGTTTTTAATAATCTGATACCTTGTATCAGATTACTATAATCTCATACAAAGTATATCTGATACCTTGTATCAAATGTTTATTAACTTTGAAAAACAAACTACAAACTGTTTTGGTTTTTGAACATGCAAAATATAAATGGATATTAATGAATATAAATGAGAGAAAAACAGTTTTTTAAAATATACACCAACATTTGTATGAAAAATTATCAATATAAAACCTTGTCTTCAGTGGTTTACCGAGCATCTTTTTGTAGACTTATTTATCATGATTTAAATAATACAACTAATGTAAAAATACATATATTCTACCATTAACAAAAAATTTAACTCATATTTCAGCATTAAAACATTTAACTTTTGACCAATTTAGCCATGATCCTTGGTTACTTAAATGCATATTTTAGTGTAGACTGAACCGAACTTAAAAAAATTCCAGTCTACACGACATTTAGTTTTATTAGTCGCACAAATGATTCGCGGTGAAAGATTTTTGGCTATAAATTAACACCGTGACAATATAGACCATATAACAATAATAATACAGAAAATGTTTTTAATTGATTTTGATAAAACCTTAATACACCCCTCCCCACTTGACACCAACTTGCGTCGCTCCTCCTTTAATTTAGAAATATCATTTTACATTAAGAGGCTGGGTGAATAAAAAAGAGCAATTGCTTTTACTCAGTAATTTGATATATAAAGAAATGATAAAATTACTATTATATTATTAAAAAAATGATAAAGTTTTGATAAAATTTTTATTCACGTAAAGTTAAGCAATTTACTCAGTAATTGCTTAGCTTTACATCAATAAAAACTAAAGCAAAATTGCTGAAGTTTTTATTCACGTAAAGCTGACCAATTACAAACTAAAAGCAATTGCTCTTTTTTATTTACCCAGCCTAAGAAATAAAAAAAAAACATCATGTTTTCCTAACTTGTTTATACTCTGCAAAATTGACTTGACTTTTCCTTTTAGATCTGCTTATGATGAGAGAAACTTCACTAGACTAAAAATTATCAATATTTATCTGTGATCAACAGTGACAAAAGAATGTCTTTTCGGATTGGCATTAATTTTTATTGAACGTTAGCTTGCTGAGAGAATTGATTTTGAATTATCAATAAATTATTTTACTTTACTCCAGCAAGCCCAGGCATCTGTATGATGTCTATACAATGTCTTACAGACATCACAAGTCCTTAAGATGTCCTTAAGATGTCCAATTGTTTTGTACCTGCTGGAAATAAGATCTCACAAAAAAAAATTGAATTAACTAGTAGGAAAGTAAATTTCTTTCTTAATGCTTGTTTCAGTAATGTGTGTAAAGGAAATATACTTTTAAATAACCAAAGCATTGCAACAATCTTTCTTTTTTTTTTTAATGATTATTGTTAATCAAAGTAAACTTAATGCCTTAGACATACCTATTAGTTGTGATAAAAGACACATAAAAGCATCAATAATATATATATATATATATATATATATATATATATATATATATATATATATATATATATATATATATATATATATATATATATATATATATATATATATATATATATATATATATATATATATATATACCACAAGTGTGATTTTTGAAAAAACTGTTTCTGAGGGTTAATGTGTCACCCACAATTTATTGCACTAACTCATTCCCTCGCCCCCTCACTGAAGATGCTAAACATCTATCTGCCACTGAGGTAATTTTAGAAATATAAACCTCTGAAATCTGGGATAACATATTATACAGAATAAACTAGTAGCTATTTATTAAAATTTATTATTAACTGCAAAAAAGTGCTAAGCTGTATGCAAAAATTTTAAATTAAAAAATCAACAAATACTACTACTGTAGCATTTGTAGTATAATAAATACTACTAGTGTTTTTTATATAATAGAACTTTTAAATACAATTATAAAATACAAATAGTAAAAATACTACTTCTAGTTACATACAAATAATTAACTAAAAAACCAATAATATGCACAAATGATGTCAACTATAGATAGGATGTATAGTATACATCCATTGTATAGTCAACATCAAATTGACGTCAATATGACATAGAATATCTATAAAATAAGAAATAACAACTTTTAACTACATATTATTTATCTATTATCATTATTAACTGCAAAAAAGTACAAAATTACATACAGAAATGTTAAATTAAATAAATTAATAAATACTACTTCTGAGCAGACATCCAGACAGATTTTATGTATAATTCTACATATATTCTGTTTAATTTACAACAAAAAAAACTTAACAAACCATTAATATGCAAAATATAAATTATCTAACTGAGAGACCTTCTTTAGGATCAATATGATCATAATACTCTGAAACATGTCAACACCCCTGATTTGCTATCATCTAGTTCACCACAGCTTGTTTTTTTACATTTAAACCAATTTCAATAAATAATTTATAAAACAACTATTCTGTTCTCTGATTGTTATAGAATTGTTCTGTGGATAAACTAGTCAGCAAGCAAAAATGAAACAATTAAGGTTGAATTAAAAATTTATTCCTCATTTTATTTCAATTTTACTTGCTAGTCTGGTAAATCAAAGTTTTTATCTTTGGAAGATAAACCAGAAAAATCACCTTGGTTTGGTTTCGTAATCTTAATACCATTCAACAACATTTCAGACATTTTGTGCTTCATAAGCTCTCGTCTTCCTTCAGCAGCTTTTTTCATTTCAGAAGTTGTTGGGAAGACACCATCACGAACAACACATTCTGTAATAAAATTAGCATCTGGTAGAGCTGAACTCCAGTGAGAGACCTTTTGAATGTGTAACTCATCATCAGGAGTTTCTATGGAATATTGTAAAGTTAGACCATTTTGGTCATCAACTACTTGATTTTGAAGGTATAAGTTTACAAGCCTGGTTTGCATTAAATACACACTTTGAAGTTGAGATTTAAGCCAAATGTAAATGCTAATATTTGTGCTGCATTCGATTTGAAGTACAGGTATCTTTAAAAAAAATATATATTTTAATAAAATAATATTGATGAGTTATGATAAAAGAAAAAATATAACAATTATGTATTATGCATGTTATAAATAAACATTCATTAAGTATTTGTACGATATCATAAATAACATTTCTCACTAAGTATTATCATAAAATTCTGATAATATCAAATTATCACAATTTCTGGATATTTAACACTATAATAAATCATTCTTGATTAAAAACATAAACTACAACTTTTTTTATACTGTGTTTTAACAAAAATTTTTGGCGTATACCGGTACAGTGCCATAAAAATACTCCTCAAAAAAAAATTGTATAATACTTAAACCTGCCGTGTGAAAAATGTCTATACACCAAATTTTGTAAACTTGATGAGGTTGAGACCTCTTTATAAATTTATTAACTAACTATTTAATGACAAAAAATCAGTCAGCATAAATAAAAAAATTAAAACTCAAATCTCAAGAATTTTAATAAGAAATTTTCAAAGTTTTCATAATCCCTACAACATACATAAAAACTAATAAAATCCAAAATAATACTTAAAAAAAATATCTTTTAATTTCTTTTCTTATTTAGGTTATTGTTTGTAATGTTTGTAGCAAGAGTCTGTGTGTGTGTGTGTGTGTGTGTGTGTGTGTGTGTGTGTGTGTGTGTGTGTGTGTGTGTGTGTGTGCGTATGTGTGTGTGAGTGTGTGTGTGTGTGTGTGTGTGTGTGTGTGTATTTATATCCTACTTTTATAAACTTTATATTTTTTAACTATTAATTTAGGTACTTGTATTAAACAACATTAAGGCAATGAAATATATTTTTTATCAAGTTGCATTCAAAAAAAAATTGAAGATTCTGAATTCAAAAAAGGTTACTAGATTTAAATAATTTTCATACAGTCTCATACTTGTATGAGTATGTATATAAATATCAAGTTATATATGTAAATATGCGAAGCATATAAATACGAAGTATATAAGTAAGTAGATTACTAATCTTACCTTCAGTTTCTAATTAACTATACAAGATAGTATAGTTTATCAAAAATTATAAAGAGTTTAAAAATTATACTTATGCTATAAGTATAATTTTTAAACTCTTTATAATTTTTAACTATAAGTTATAGATAAATTTATGGCTTATTATTTCATTTTGCTCTTTTGGATTTTTTTGCGTGCTTGATTAAACACTTGTCTCTATAGCTGACCTTTGCAGCCCCCTATAAGACGGTCAAAGAAGAGCACTGAGGAAGATAGGCTCATTCTTTACAAATGATTAAGTACACTGCAGCTTTAATATTTCATATATTCAAAACAAATACCTCAGCATTAACGCCATAGTTCAATGATAGATTTTCGCATCTGATAATTTCAAGTGTTCCACCAACAACATTATGCGAGATATTCAAGGTTAAGTTTCGGCAATTCTCAGCAGTAACTTTTCCTACTTTACCATTTATATTATATTCAAAATCTTGGCAATTGTTAATAAATACAAATAAAGAACTATCATCAGAAGATATGTTTTTCACTCCATTTTTTTCTCCAACACAATGATGCTGTGGGCGAGGCTTTAAGCCTGGTACCATTTGCATAGCACGCCCTGCCCACCTTGCATTTGACCCATTGACGCTTTCAGACATAATATTAAAAAAATACGTTTAAACCTTAGACCATTAAAAGCTAGACTAAACTATTAAAAACTACAGATAAAATAAAATGAACTATAACTATAGAGTTAAAACATGTTTCCACAGCGTGAAGTTAGGTGATGTAATGTTTGTTTTTTGACAAGTAGGTATTGATGAATTATTATATTTTTTGAATATTTAAGCCTTGGACGTGGGTGGACAGGGTTTCGGCAAATACAAACCAATGACGTATAAATATACTTTAATTTACTCCATTATTTATGTTATTTTACTAAACGTGTTTTCATAGTTACGTAAATTTAGGTGATTTAATTTAATTTTTGATAGTCATATTAACATATGTTTAATGAATATAATAATATTACGGCTATAATAACATGACTTCAATAACATGACTGAAGTGTATTATATGACTATATATTTTCTGACAAGTAATTTTTATTATTATTTTTTGTTTTGTTTTGTTATTTTTTTGTTTTTGTTTTAGGTGCCCCAACTTTTAGGTGCTACAAATTTTAGGTGTCCCAACAAAATAGGTGCCCCAACAAAATATTGCAAAAACAAATTTTAGGTGCCACAACCGTTTTCAAGGCCTTCTAAAGTAGAAGGCCCGCTCATGAGTAGAAAAAACACTTGTGACGTCACTTTAGTAGTCTAACGTTAATTTTTTCGACTTACTATTTAGTTCTAAATATCTCAAGTTGTAAATATTTAAGATTTAGTTTTCATATCTTCAGCGCAGTTTGTACTAATTCAATTTTTTTAAATAGTTTTTAACAAAGTCTCTTGCTGAAAGAACTAAGCTTTTATCAAGATTTTCTTTACAGAAGTTGCAATATGTCAACTCAAGATTCAAGTAATTTCATCATCGTTGCGACTTAATTAGTTGCAGCATTAATTTGTAATTATATATTATTTCATAGTTATTAATTTTTATACATAAAAATATTTTTAAATAAACTATTTTTTTAGCACTTCATAAGTTTCAGAATGCCTCAACACTGCTGTATCCCTGGATGTAGAGGTAACTATTTAGCATCAATCAATCATCCGTGTGAAAAAGTTAGTGTCATTAAATTTCCAACAAATCCAAAGATGATAGAATTATGGATTGGTCAAGTTCCTCAAGAAAATTTTATTTCTTCAAATAAAACTGTTGTGTGTAAAAAACATTTGATTGTTGCATTTATTGTTTGTGTTGATACAATAAAACAAGATGATGGTTCTGAAATACGTGTTGAGAGAAAAAGACCAAAATTAACTCCAGATACTTACCCATCATTATTTTCTAACATTTCTTTTTATTTATCAAGCAAACCACCCTTCAAACGCAAAAATCCAGAATGTTATCATGCAGAGTTTATTAATTGAGATGAGAAAAGATTTGAAAAATTGATGGAAATGGACGAAATTGGCAAAATTGATGAGTTTTCTAATAAAGTTAATGGTTATATGAGTAATAAATCTGAATGGGTTATTTTGTATAAACCAAACTATATTTGTATTTGTATGATTGATGATATAGATATACCAACCATCATACTATCTTTAAAAATTTATAATAACTTACTTGTTGAAGTTTTTGCTGTTAATTTGAAGATAGACAGCAGTTTGGTGGCCAAGGTACTTAACAATGAATGTAAACTTACTTATTGGACTCAGTTATTCACACAATTTCTTCCTGGTAATAAAAATATCATTTCCATTTCAGATTATGTTTTAACAATTCGATGTAATTTAAATAGTCTATATGAACGAGTTAGAGAAAGTGATGAATATTCTACTGATGTTCATAAGTGTTTAGTATTTCTATGCAAACAAATAAAACTGTTATTTATTTCTCATCTTGGATATAGTTCTGATACTCTGGCTTTTAGCTTTTTATCTAAAATGCATGTCAAAACCAGTTTATAACATGGTACATGAAAGTTGTCATGTCAGAACCAGTTTATAACATGGTACTTAAGCTTTGTTGTTACCTAATGGGTCTTATCTTAGATAACTGTCTACTGCTTTTTCAATGAATCATTTTTAATTTTTAATAATTTTTTCAATGAATAATGAATCATTAGATGATAATAGTCATGTCGCTTATTTGAAAAACAAGTGTAATTTATTAAAAGATCATCAGCAAATCGTTATCCTTCTCCTAGACAAAACTATGTAAATGGAAAAAGAACTTATATTAAGGGGGTTGTTTGACTATGTCAAACAACCTCCTTAATTTAAGTATGGTATGTCAAAAAATAAAGAAGCAACTACAGTGCAAACATTTATGATTTGCTCTTTACTATCATCATACAAAGATGTTGCTGCAATGGTACCAGTAAAAAATATGACTGCTGTCTATCTAAAAGACATTACTATAAAAGTGGTTGAAATGATAGAAAATTGTGGTTACAAAGTGCTTTCTTTAATTTAAGACAATAGTCGGATAAATAGAAACATGTTTAATGCCTGTTTAATATGTGGTAATAATGTTTAATATGTGGTGGTGATTTAAAGCCATTTATTCAACATCCTTATGATTCTACAAGAAAACTGTTTTTTTCTAATTGTATTCGCAAAAACTGGCTGAAACAACTTGGCAGTGATCATTCATTCCTGTATCCTGGTTTTACAGACGATTCTATATATAATGCATGTTTAAAAATATTCAACAATTGCACAACTTTGAAAAAATAATATAGCTAAATTGGCTCCAAATTTGACAAATAAAGCTCTTTACCCAACACTATTGAAAGACAAAATGTTAAATTAGCTTAAAAATTTTGGAAAAGAAAAAAGCAAAGATATAACAGTAAGTCATGAGTTAATTTCTTTAATTATAAAACTATGGAAAATATTTAAAATTAAGTCTAATAGTAAAGAAGTTTGTAAACGAGATGAGGATTGTAATCACATTAATGACTTGAACAATAAAAGTTTATTTTTTTTAAAAGATTTCTCCTTTTGGCTTTAAAGATGGTAAAATTTCAAACAAAAAGGCAGATATGGCTGCCTAACTAAACAAACTATTTTTGCTTTAAGACAAACTGTGATAACTTTTGTTAAACTAACTCAACACATCTAATTGATTTGCATTTTTCCTATGTGTTGACAGGAAAATTTTAAACAGACTGTTTAGAAGCACGGTTTGATTCTTATTGACAGTTTTCAGGTCGATATTACCATGTATCAGTCCAAGAGATAAGAGAATCACTATTTCTAAAAAACATGGTAGTATATCATTCTTAGACTTTATTTCTGAATGTAATTGTGTCAATACAACTGAATCTACAGACAAAACTGAATCTACAGACAATTCTGAAGATGTTTTATTGATGAATTTTCTGAATTAGTTACACATCAGATAATGTACATGTTTCTTCTTTTGAATGCAATTCTCTTGTGTATATTGCTTGTTATGCTGCTTTTAAGCTAATACATGGAAAAATATTTTGTGAGCTTTGCAAAAATGAACTTGTATCAGAACATTCATTAGAATTTGATGGTGGTGGGTTGAAATGGCCGACTAACTTTTTGTTGCAAATAACAATAAAAGTTTTTTCAATTTTTTCTTCCTTGAAATCTTCTCAATATAAATCCAAATACTTGTTGATGTCAAAGCACAAATAAATTCTAATTTCCTTATCAATTAAGCGTTTAGAGTTTCTAGAGATGGTTAATGGTGTATGTTGTTGTAGTATTTCAATACTTTATACTGCAAAACTTGCCATACATACACTAGCAAATATTTTTCTAAACAATTATTACTAAAGAGCTGAAAACCTTCAAAATGTAGAAAAGAATAGTAAAAAAAGCATTTAGGAAGCTAGCAACATTTCATAAATAATTATTTAGGAATATTGCTTAAGTTAGTTTAATATTAAAAAAAAACAAGAGTTTATTAGTCCTAATGAGACTTGATGCATTTTATAAAATTTAATTTATGAGAAATTTCTTGTTAAACAACTAATTTGTAAAAATATTAAAAAGTTATTCTTATTATTTTTTTTGTTTTTATTCAGATTTTTTTTGTAATCAGAAAATCGAACGAAATAAGAAATATTTAACATTTGTTTGCAACATTTATTTACAAATAAGACATTTATTTTCAAAAGCTTTTCATAAAAACAATTTTTTTTAAATCAAAACAAATATTAATGGACTACTGATGTGACGTCACATTCCGCATAATCGGGCCTTCTAATTTAGAAGGCCTTGTCACGACTCACAGAGCAACCCGTATTAGCATTTGGAATGAAGTTTATGCCTCCTTTCTTAACAATGTTAAAAAGTTTCAAGATTCATAGAATTCTTTATATTTTGTGGCAAATGTTTGCGAATAATGCTAAATGTACCAATACAATAAGTATTATGATCTAGCAACGCCTTGCAAATTTTATTAGAGGCGTACCAGTTATCAATAAGCAAACAATAACCATTTCCAATTAAGTTATCCATTAGTGTAATTATAATTTTAGTAGCTTGATACTTGTATTTATCTAAATCAGGAGCAAAATTGTTACTCATTTTAGTTCAATTTTACACAAAAACAATTCCAAATATAACCTGATTCAGATTCAAACAATATAAAAGACTTCCTGCTGATAAAATGAAAATAGTTTTAATATCTCAACTACTTGATATCTCAAACTTTTGAATATCTTGATCTTTCTCTTGCGCACTTGTTTGAAATCGAACTCTTGAGAATCAAGTTTTTCCCGGGTTCCTGAAAGTTTGAATGAATAAGGATGAATTTGTATTTTTCAACAGTAATTTAATTCTTCTTAATTTCTAAAAAGTCATTTTAGCAAAAATACAATAAAGAACTTTTTCTCTAACATAATATTAAAATTGTAAAGTTACCTAATTTAACGCTACTTCGTTATCTCAGTTATCTTGACTTTTATCGGTACTGTAATCATTCATCTATAGAGTAATCTTATTTTTATTTACTGGATTATGGGTTTGTAAAAATAAATTGAAGGTTTTAGAATATTTTGTAAAAATATGATTAAGTATTGCAGTTCTTTTTAAATTGCAATCTGAAAAAAGAGATGTTATCGCAAAAAATAATTATACATTGTGCCGCTTAAAACGTAGCAATCTTTTTTATTTAAAAATTAGGAATATTTAACTGTAAGTACTTTGTTAGTTTTA